GGGAGGGGAGGGGAGGGGAGGGGAAGGGAAGGAAGGGAAGGGAGAGAGGGAGCCCTCAGAGTCATCACCTTAACTCTAATTTGCCACTTTAGCAGTGACCAAGCCTAACTGCAAGAAAAGCTGGAAAAATCTGGCAAAAGAGAATGAGATTATCATTACCAACTTAGGTCAGTCATGCTTTACTACCACCAACTGGGTACTTTGTCACCCCAAAAAACTGTGACACCCTGTTAACAAGGAAAAAAAGCAGTTAGGTAGGCAAGAACCATTATCCACCACCATATCTCAGACAGAGCAAAATATGCAATTATAAAAATCTAAGGGTGAAGAACTCATTTTAAGTGACAGTGATTTTTTTCAGTTCACTAAGATTACTGCAAGGAAAAAAAAGAACTGAAATATCCTTGCTGCTTAGTCTAAAGTACTCGCTAAGAAGTGGAAATGTTTGATCTTGGAACAGTGACTTGTATACCTCAGAACACACAGCTCAAATCCTCGCCTCAATCCCCACCCAGAGAACCCCTTCTCTGCATTCTGTGAAATTTCCACAAAGCAAAGATGTAATGTAATCTAAGAATTACAATAATTATCAGAAAAACTTGCTGAGATTCTGTAATCTGTAATGAAACTGAATAGCTCTAATGTAAATTATGATGTATTCTTTTAGCTGTCAAGATACAACGGAATCAAACTGATTACTTAGGCTGAAGCATTTATTTTTTAATAATTAAATATTTTCTGCATAATAAGCTTATGACAATATCAACTGAATGTACAGAAGCTGAAAAAATGACATATATACCTACATCAAGGTCTTTCTTGTCAGACACATTCCTACTTGTGCAGTCATTTGGCATAACAGCCACTAGGATTGCTTAGTCATTGCACCTTTATCAATTCGGATGACTTTATTTGCAAAATGTACAAACAGAGTAAGTAACTAGAATGCAAATACTTTTATAACTTTGAAAGTCTCTGTAGAGATAGGAGTTATCTGATTGTAACAAAAATCCTAGACTGTACTTCAATCTAGGATTAAGTAAGCATATTTTTAACTTCAAATTTTGATCTGCAACTATTTTTCCAAAAGTATTCCAAAAATCTATTTAGTAAGGAGTAGATAAGTTATATTTGGAAAAAGAGTTAAAATGGTGAGGTATACACATAGTTGGGGAAAGTGTGACTACATTAACATAATTATATAGTGAGCTGCACAGATTAAATGGCTAGCATCGAAAGAAGACACACATTGAGTTCGTCGACACTGAGTCTAGGGCCAGTGAAAAATAAAACATTACACAATGATCTTTCAGAAATCCATGTGCCCAAGTAAACCCTTCAAAGAGCATGATGACACCTCGCATGGTGACACCCAGAATGATGACACCCAGAATGATGACACCCAGCCACAAGTGCTTCAGCCTTCAGAGAGGGCAGGGAACCACATGCACGGAAGTGCTTGCACACTACCCATGGCCTGTGGCATAGTAATCTCATTCAGAAGAACAGAGTAATCATACAGGACCAAACAGGAGATACAGAAAAGGTTCATTTCAATGTTCACAACACTGCAGAATTATACTGAATAGTAAAGTGAAATGGGAATTTGCCATCAATTCACCTGGATTACTTGATCTTGAATAATATAACACAATCTCTGCTGCAAAAATACAATCAAATGAAATGCAAAAGCAACTATAGTTACATTTTAATACACCACTAGTCTTATCGTTATCTTTACAACTTTATATCAACATATTCACTAAAATTTATCATACTAAGAGTCTATGGACAATATCCACTAGTGAGCTAGGTGTGGTCTAATCTCAGCACCTGGGGTTTGAGGCAAGAGTATTGCCCTCAGTTCAAGGAAGCCTGGGCTACGTAGTTCAAGGCTAGCCTGGACTGCATGGTGAGACCCTGTCAAAAAAAAAAAGAAAGAAAAAAACCCAGAAATTCACTAGTGATATCAGAATATAAAAGATGAAATGACATATGGAAGGGTACATTTTGTATTTTAAAAATATGTAATTCCTAAAATGTATTAAAATAGCATTTTATCTTTAAACTCCCAGGTAACATGAATTGGGTACTCACTGCTATTCCACCTGATAACGTGAATTCTCAGAGCCTAGGCACGGTTTGGGGTTCATTTCTGAATCCCGCAACTCCCCAACTACTACTGTGAATAGCAGACTATCTGCACATCACCAGCTGCTTTCTTTTTTGTAGTTCATCCAATGTAGACACAGCAAATGGGTATGGCTGCTGGAATGAGGCTGTCTACAGCTTGCAGCCTGCCCCGCCTCAACAACCTGTCTGCACTCCATTCATTCATTATAAGCCAGGCACTCCTCAGTCCCACCTAAATCCACACATTTCTACCCAGAGTGGCCAGGATTGGAGGAGCATCACGTTCACAAACCACGCTATTTAACCTTCCTCTGTTTAACAAAAGGAAGACACACAGAAGCACCATACAAATAGAGTAAGAAAAGCAAGACATTCAAGGAGATTCCGCACTGCCTGTTCCCCCATACACATGTGATCAGTAGCTCCCTGTGTTCTCAGTGTGTTCTGCATACCTTTTCTGATAGGTCTCTAGTACCAATCTCCTAACAAGACAGAACTGACAACTGAGGTTGATATACCCCAAATCTACTCATCCTTCAAACGTATGTTAAATGCTAACAGCTCTGGAAGGCCACTTTCAGTTTGTCACGGACAAAATCAACTTCTCCAGCTTTCATACTCTAAATACACTTGCATGACTACATCTACCTCTAGCTTGACGGTCTTTAAAGTCACGGTCATATACCTCCACCTTCTTCCCCCGTAGTCCCTAGCACAGAGCAGATACGATGAAATAACTACAATAGTAGCATCACTTTTTAAAAAGTATCAGAAAACAGCATCAGAGGTTAGAGAACAAAAATAAAGTGCCCACATTCAATTCTCATCTCAGTTCAAAAAGTGTCACCCACACCCACATTTGTCACAAGACAAATGAGTAAAGACCTATCTATAGGTTCTAAGTGAGATCACTTTCCTGCTGACCAGGTATCCTGAGAGTCTGAGTTTACTCTGCTCCTCTGCTGTCTCTGAAGAAGGATCTACTGTCATCATCGTAATTAATTCCACAGTTGGAGAAATTCTCAAAGGTGATGATAGAGCTGGGCATGGTGGCGCACACCTGTAATCCCAGCACTACGGAGGCTGAGGCAAAAGAATCACTGTGAGTTTGAGGCCAGCCCGGGCTACATAAGTGAGTTCAAGGACAGCCTGAATTACACAGTGAGACCCTTACTCAAACAAACAAACAAAAAAAAGACGATGTTAGAGAAGCAACACCCTCATAATAGGTACATTATAAACAGGCTAAAAATGCATCCCACGCTCTGATTACCTGTAATGCTCACTGATGGGGACATTCTGAGAGAAATACAAAGCTGCAGTCCGCGCTCTCCAATGCCATTTCTTTGCAGGAAGGGTGTAAAGGACACAGTCTTGTAACTCTTCGTGGAGCAGGTCCACCAGCTGTTTATGGGAGCCTCCATAGAACGCCTCAATGATGAGAATACTCATTGCTGGATTCAAATCTTCAGACGCAACCAAAAAATGTGTATTTTTTCAGATATACATATATACAATATTAAAATAAAAATAAAGTTAAATTTTACTCTCAAAAAAACACTAATAGTTTAGTCACAAGATTTTTTTTTTTAAGGCAGGGTCTTGCTATGCAGTTCAGTCTGGTCTTAAACTCACTTATGTAGCCCAGGCTGGCCTGGAATCCACAGTGATCCTCCTGTCTCAGCCTCCCCAGTGCTGGGATTACAGGCATGCGTCACCACACCTGGATGTCATGTGATTTTTTAAAAATACATATTCCACCTTTTAAAAAGCATCAACACTTAAATCCTACCTTTTTATTAACAAAATTTTCATAACATGCTAGTAAGAAATTAAAGTGTCTATTTTTCTGATGTCTGTTGTCTTCAAGGCCTAAGATTATTCCTACTATGACTTGTAGTTGTATCTCCTACCCCAAGAAGCTCAAACGCTCTCCCCTCTCCCACTGTGACCTCTCACTTCCTGGATGGCGTGGCTGTCAGGCTCACTCAGCAGCCTCAGCACCTGGTTAATTGTAACACACAGTGTCTTGAGGTACTACGCATCTCTTGATCACTTCTCTGCTGAATATCTCCTTCCCACAAAAACACTAAAAAAGTGGAGTAGAACAACGAAGATTTCTACAACTTCATAAAAGACCTATTAGGAGGAACACAGTTATCATAATAGGGTTGTTAAAGCTTTGATAAAATTTTATCACTGAGAATTAGTTATCGATCGTTTTTCATTTTAGTAATATGATTTCTGTTCATGTGCTCAGTGAAATGAAAATATATGTATGAATGCAAAAACGTTCATATACATTTCAAAGAGTCTGCTATTTCCTGTGAGACATAAGGGAGAAACGCCATTCTGTGCGTGAATGCTATCCTGCCTAAGAAATATTCCAGATGCTTGAACTTTCTTTTATGAGTGAAGAAAATACCATTCGTTAAACAGCATATTGCTTTTTAAAATAATGCCACTTCATAAAATTATTACCTTCAATGACTTAGTAACGCTCTTCATTAATAAAATTCTATTTCACCTTGCTCAAAGTAATGCCTATTTAAACTGTATTTCAAAGCAAAAAGGCTAAAGTGGTTCTCAAATAAATGGCTAATCTGACAAAAAGCTTTCTTTTTGATGTATGAATCCTCCGATGTGCATCTGCTGGGGAACTATGTGACACCCTCTCTCTGCGTGCATGTGTACGTGTGTGTGTGTGTGTGTGTGTGTGTGTGTACACGCATGTAAATTAAAGGAAATACAAGCTGTACCTCAGCTCTGTTTCCTTCCTTCCTTCCTTGCTTCCTTTCTCCTCCTTTCCTTCTTCCCTTTCTTTCTTTCTTTCTTTCTTTCTTTCTTTCTTTCTTTCTTTCTTTCTTTCTTTCTTTCTTTCTTTCTCATTTTGTGTTTGCTCTGTTTTCATTTTATGCAGTACCAGGGACTGAACCCACAGCCTCTGCACTGAGCTACATCTCCAGCTCTTTTTTATTTTCAATTTTTATTTTGAGACAAGGTCTTCCTAAATCACCACGTTGCCCAGGCTGTGTCAAACTTATATCTGTCTCAGCTGCCCAGAGCATTGGGACTAAACCCAGCAGCGCAGCACTATCACTTTCTATCTCTATGACCTTAAACATGTTTGTAGGACTCAGTCTCATCTTCTCTAAAATCGAGATAACCATACTAACCTCAGAGGTGTACTTGTGGATAAAATTAGGCACAGAACACTTGCAAACAGAATCAGGAGGTTAGCCTCTCCAGCTATCTTAGTATAAATCACTCTACCTAAGAAGAAAGGTTATCTTTGAATCTTCCAGCATTATAAATCTAGCAATTTTCAGCTGTGGCCCCCTATCCACAAGGTATAGCTGAGAAAGCTGGATGCATGCATTTGTTGAACATGCAATGGAGATTACCCATTTTTCATCTGCAGCTTGCATTTCAAACATGAATTTGAGAACCTTGCAGGTACTGTGGGTAAGAGGTAAGCTCAGAGGCTGAACTATGCAGAGCTCAATTTTTTGGGGCCTGCTGGTGACTTTTGCTTTAATAATACAGTGTTCAGTGAGTTCTCAAACACACTCCAAGTTCAACAAAGTGGCAGTCATTAATCATTCAAGTGATTAGAAATTTCTATAAAGCAACTCAGAGAACAGCAAAGGGAAATTTTGAAAATTATACCAAACATTTCAAGAAAGAGATTAAAAGCAGTTTTAACATTAATTTGCTTACCAGATCACATCACAGATACCTGTTATCTACCTTTATTTCCTCTGACCTAATCTCACTAAGGTGTATATGTCCTGTTTATCCTTAGAAGATTGCTAAATGGCTCTGTAAAACTGACTTGAGATATTTCCCCAAGTGATACAATGTGATCTAAGCCTCTCTAAAAAAAAATTTTACTCATATAATCTGAAAGCAACATCAATAGTAGAAAAAAATAGCTTTCTTACTCTTCATCATTCTGCCCTTTCCATGATTTATCTCAAGTATGCATCATGCTATAGGTTTACTTGACAGATGTTTCTTAGGGGTCTGAACCACAAGTTATCTATAAACCATCACCACTGTGGAGACAGTGTGTGTAGGTGCTGCTGTAGACTCAAGACTCTCAGTAAGCAGAACTGAAGACCAAGCATGTGGGAGGTTGAAAAACAGAAAAGGGCAAAAGAAAGATTATAGCTATAGAAGATTTCCACCCCTTTAATAGCTCAGTAAGAAGAGTAAAACATACAGGTCTCTAGCATACACTTGAGCATTTTTCTTGTGGCCAAAGGGTGTGTCGGCATTTGGGGTATTTTTCTAGGGAGAGTAACTATGTCCTACCATCTCTGAAAACTATACTTAGTGGCTTTGATTCATGGAAATTTGTTCTGCTCGTTTTGTGGAGACAGACATATCCTGGCAGTTCCCCCTACTTACTTCTACTGCAACTTCTGCGGCAAGAAGAAAATGTGTTCTTCCCTGCAGTCTTCTTGAAGCACGACCTGAAACAAAGACAATTCCGATTAGATGCAAATAAAATAGTAGAAGCTGATTCCTAAATATAAGATTCAAACCAAATGTCATTACGGCACATTAAAGTACAGTTCAAATACTTTCACTATGTTTGGAATTCTGCGTTACAAAACACTGTTCAAAACAAACAGGCATGAGGTAGAAAAGAAGCCATTTTGCTGTACAGTGGTATTTGCAGAAATGTAAAGGAATTATCCAATTTGCTGTTCTAGAATAATTAGGGAAAGCTGCAGGTGGTCCCCCAATAACACAGAGGTTCACAGGAACACAAGGTAAATGAAAATATTTTTGGACCAAGCAATAGCTCATAAGGAGAAAATATTAGGAAACGGCAATAATAGGGCCCCGCAGTGAAAGCGCTAACTTCAAATAAAGGACAGGGTCTCCCTAACGTGAGGAGGCCAGGGCGGGGCGTCCGCCAAAAGAGGGCAGTGAGCACCCGCACAGCACAATGTCTTGCACAGGTGCCTGAGCTCACGAATCTGTGGAAACACTGTTATCTGTGTGGCCACAAACCTTAAACCCCGAAACGTTTATGTGGAGTAAGTTCATCAAAATAGAGGAGTGTGACATTTTAAAATAAGCAAAAAAGAGAATACCTCTGAGCAAGCCCATGGTCTTTCCGTACAATATTCAGAATATTTTGTGACATTAAGAAAAAAAAGCCCATGGACACTCCATCTTGCTGCTGAAAAGAGCATATAATATCCTCCAGATAAACTGTTAGCAACTTTTAAGTCTTCCTGGTTAAACAAGTAAGCCTCAGTTAAAGAAAAACTTCCTTAGCACATGTTATTCCCCAGTGACACCAGAGGAATGAAAATCTACTATCCTATTAAAGCTTTATGAAAGTTTAACTCATTATCAATACTATGATTTAATGATACATGGTTAAATGCTATACATTTAATTTGGCAATATAAAAGAAGTCAAAGGGATAGCTGTGACAGAGGCATTTTATACCATGTCAAGCGCTACTTAAAATTTCCAAAGAACAAAGTGATCTATTTAGGAATTATCTGCCATACTAAAAATATACATATACAACTAAAGGGGCCTAAAAAGAAAAAAAATCACAATATTTCGTACAAACACTGACCAAAATGAAAAGGCACCATTAGCACTGTCTCAATTAAAATCTAATAATGCAGTGATAGGATAGAGAACAAAAGTAGCCTGAAACCAATGCTCTGAATATTTTTAAATTTTTATTAAAACTTTTTGTCATTGTACCTGCATTTATTTTAAGCTTGACCCAATTTCTTTATTCCCTGAGCCAGATCCTTTTCAAGGTGAACTACATTTTTGTCTACTCCTGTAGCAGCTACAAATGCTGTGGTAGCTGAAAAAAAAATTAACAGCATAGATGCAGGAGATTTGCAATATGTCACTGGTTTGCTGGAAAAAAAGATGCGCTAAGTATAAATGAATCATATTACCTTAAAAATAATAGAAGTAAATCTAAGTCACACTAGAAACCCATAATTAGTCCTCATCTATAATGTCAAGCCAGGTGCCCATATTATTCAAATAATTTTCCAATCAAACACCTATTAATAATTGTAAATCAGAGGAATTGTTGTACTAATATATTCCACAGACACCTTCCTGCTATTACTTGTAGGAAGGTATAGTTTCAGTGATCATGGTTTTAACAGTTTTAATCCCACACACATGAGAAATTGATTCCACAGGTTAATCTACACAGAGCTTGATGTCTTAAAACTTCAATTAATTGCTGAATATATATTTTCTGTTTATCTCTCTGCAGTACTTGGAAACTTACACCTGGCAGAACAAAAATCAGTGGGCTTACCAGCAAGTGGTTAAATAGGGGACAGTAAAACTTGAGCAGGCTTTCCCAATAGGTCAGCGAAGGTTGAGCTGGTATTTTCTTTAGAGGCCTTTTCTCCACCCCTTCCCTTCTGCACCTCCACTCACTGACTCAAACACACCCAGGTTCTATTTAAAAAGCAACTAATAACCCAGCAGAGTAAAATAGGGCAGCGCTGAGACAAGTTAGTATTACCTTCCAGCCCACTCACTTACTTTAATGATTCATCGGGGAAACCCCACTTGTTAAAATATACCTGAAATCTCATTAAAGAGTAAAAAATAAGCACAGAAGAAATTTTGCTTTGAAACATGTCACCAGTGATTCCCTTAACAAAAAATTATTATGGTTTCACATGAAGTAATAATACATTTTCCTTTTTAAAATTTCCTTAAAGTAACAAGGTTCATTTGAATATATAAGAAAAAAGAGACAATGATTAACAGATTCTACTAAAAAGTCATTTTTTATAAAAATCAAGAATAGCAAATTTCTCTTAACCTCCAATACTGCAACATAATCTCTAAATATTGGAATATAGTCCAGCATCAAATGCAAAATAAAAATTTTACAACTGTATGCAATGAGAAACATTCTACATAACTTTTTAAATTGTCTAATAGTAAGGAATGAGTCCTTTCCCTATGCATTAGTTTGAAATTTCAGGTAACGCCTAATGGAAACTCAATGTTATTTGTTTATTTGGCTTCGGTACACAGAACCTACTGTTTATAACTTATGTACTGTACTATCCTATGTATTTAAATGGAAACAAAATCTTAGGTTCAAATTTTTAAAAATAATACAATCTAATATTTTATACGCTCACAATACTCTGAATATTCTAATTTCTTCATTTCTGATATTTATTTCCTGTTATAAGTAAAACCTAAGAATTTGTACATCAAAATCAAGTTTGTAGAAAGATTTAAATTGTTTTTGAGATAATTTAAAGCTATTTCCAATGTACTTTTCCAATTGCATGAGTTGCACGAGAGCTCTTATGTGAATGTTTTTACAAAGTTACAATTTTATATGCATATGTGACTATTTATTTTTTGCCTGACATATATGTCTATTCTTTCTTGACGTGGGATTTAAATTTCTGCTGAAAAATATCAGTCACTTATTCCATAACTTGAATTAATAAAAAGTCTTAATTATAACACTCAAGTTTCAAATGCAGTTCAACAAATAGCACCTTACCATGTAGCATAACTCAATTGTTTTCAAATATACACAATTTCCACGAATAACTACATGTGTACACACTAAAATGCCTTCCTTTACCTTTTCTATATTGGTATTCCACATTATATACAAATTATAGACTTCACTTTTAGACGTAAAGACTTTTGTGAAGACGTTAGTGGCTTAACTTCACTGACAAACCATTCTTCAGTTTTTCATGGCTATTACTTCATGAATAATTTCAAACTTTATAAAAGTAAAACTGACAGTTCTACTGAATATTAAAAGATATTTTCAATGTGTGGCCATTTTTAAATGTGATAGCATGTTGATGAATAAACAGAAAATTTTACGTTAGAAAATCAGCTCATCACTGAAACTAGCATCGCCCTTTACATGACTACACAGTCGTGCCCCGTCACACTGTCTTCATAAGCCGATCACAAGAGCTCTTTCCCAAACGGAAGCCCGCTCAGGAAGTGCTACACTCCAAAACCTTCAACGTTACCATCAACCAACAATAAAATCCCGAGTCATTTTTGAACCCCTTTTCTCCTCACTACTGCCACATTTACTTTTCACCCACTTCTCCCCCCACTGCTCCAGACAGCCTCATGGCAATACTGAGCAGTAGCAAGCACCCACACTCAGGTAGTGGTACTGTCCTGGGACACATCATTACCTCTCTTCTGTCAGCCTTCTCTTTGCATCCACCTTATGAAATTTTCTTAAACTTTTTACCCATGAATCACTATTTCTATGAGGCCTTTCTCTGAAAATCTCTGAAACACAACTTCCTTTCCACTCTGTACAACAGCCTCATGCTTGTTTTATGCTGTGGTCCTATCCTGCTTTTCTACGGGGCAGTTACTTTCCTTAGAGGTATGCTGGTACCTAGAACATAATGGATGTCACTTCTGAACTCAAAACCAGAAGAACACAGGAAGTTGATTTTGTCTGCTCTTAAAAGTACCACTGCTTTCATTTAAAACAGGTTCTGAGCAAACAAGTGTTAGACAGTACTAGACTTACTAGTAGTGATATCCACAGCTCCCGAAATCTCTACCAAGCAGCAACTGCATTTGAACACGTTTCATTATGATCCCTTTTCAAATAATGATTCTTTTTCTCTAATTGTTCACAGAAATCAGAACGTATGTGAAACAATAGCTTTGTAATCATACTTGTTTATTTTACCTACTGATACAACTGAAAAAATAATGATTGAAGAAATGGGAGATACATCATAAGCAACTAGATTCTAGGCCAACACTAGTTTCATGGCCTAAGAGATTATCTGTGAGATCCATGAATTTTAAAAATCATCTGCACTTTTTTATTCTGCTTGATCAATTATCATCTGACTTTACTTCTAGAAGTGGAAGTAGGATAAGAAGCCAATTCCCTCACCATCAATCTGGTGATCCCATTCCACATTTAGTAATTAGGTTTGTATTTAACAGACAAGAAAAAAGGCATTTTTTAAATACTTTCTGCCAACAATTATTCATTTTATAAATGTTTTAGAAGATGAATAATGTATTTGCTTTTTCAGGATGGCATTTCTCCAATACCTTCTATCTTCCTGAAATGGGCTGCAAAATCAACTTGGTGCAAGAAAACTAGGGTATCTGAGCCATTCGGATACAGACACGTAAGTAGAGACATCAAGGTATGCCACAGAATCAGAGCTGAAAAGATGCTGACCCCATTATTCAACCACTTTTCTTCTGCAAAGAAGCATAAAAGAATACTGGCATCAGCAGAGTAAATGAAAGAACAAGGACTTAAACCCAGATCTTGGGACCCAACATTCATACCTTGTCCCATCGTACTTCACTTCAGAAACATGCCACAACATAAGTACAAGATGTATCCATCTTTTAGTCTCTGGCATTTTAAGACTATATATAAATATTTAATAATTATTATGATATAGACACA